TGGGTTAAGTTTAGTGAATGTCCAAAGTATCCATACTAATATTTTAAATGGGAAAGTTACTTTGTCTGTCTGTTTATACCTTTTTACGCTTAATCCGCTCAACCGATTTGATAAAGTTTCGTATGAAGATATGAAGTTTTAAACCCTGGAAAGGGATAGGTTTTTCCCGTAAAACGTCCCTTATGGGGATGAAAAAAGAGTGGAAGTTTGTATGAGAAATCAATCATTTTTCAAGTAAGGAATGTAAAACTCATTATACCTATGTACGTATATATATAATACTAGCATTGCCCGCGGCTCCGCCCACGTTCAAGCGACGAAAAACCAAATTCTTAGGTTTTACGTATTACTATACTCTTACATTGCAGTTTTTGTATTTTTTCTCAGAAAAGAGAAATTTTCCCGCGGTAAAAAGTATCCTATATGTTGACCCGGATAACCAGCTGTCACCACACCAAATTTTATCAAAATCCATCCTGTGGTTTTTCTATGATGCGGTAACAGACAGACAGATAGACAAAAATTATAATACCTATAGATTCGCCTCTGTATCAATAATAATGTATTTTTCAATAAGATTTTCAAAAAATATTTCATGTGCAGCAGAATTTTAGTTTCTATTTTGTTGCTGGCTCTCTGGGGTGTCCTGATGTGTTTTGCGTCCAGCAACAAAATCCATCGTCTTGTTAAAAAAACTGCATGTTAAGATAGCATGGATACGGCTACAGGTCTCCAGGTCTAGCCAATTCTAGGGTTTTTCTAAATTTTTTTACACTATTTGTCAGCAAAAAATTAGTAACAAATACTGATGTATAATTGTGAGTTTACTGCTAGCTTAACGTTTAGATAGCAGTAACTGTTTTTTTCGAAATCGGACAAAGCAACAAAATCGGGGATTTGACAACTAATTAGCAACAAATTAGCCACAAAATACACAATTCACTGCTATCTTAACACACCTCAAAATTAGAACTGTAGTAAAAGATACATATATATATATAGATATATATATAGATATATATATATAATATATATATATATATATATATATATATATATATATATATATATATATATATATATATATAAATAATCATTTGAACAATTAAGCGCGCTTTTATTTTATTTTTTTGTAAAATTAACTTAAAGCATTGTTTTTAAGGTAATTTACATTGTTGTATAATTGGTCACAGTTTTAAGAGGACTTTTGCATGGGATTTGCATCTAGTATTTTTTTGATCGATTCATATAACAAACATTTTCTAAGAGCCTTCTCGCACGCTTTGGTTAGGCTACACTCGCTGGTATATAAGGCTGTAAACTAAATCCGGCTATTCCACATAATATATTATGGTGTATGTGCAATAAAATTTTAAATAAATATAATAATTTATGTAAGCAATAAATCCTAATATTATATTTACCCGTTTTAGAATTCCAACAGTCCCGTTACGCAGACGTGACCTACCGCAGTCTGTTTTGCGTTTACTCTACACATTCACTTTGATTACTTTTGCTGTATCCGTTTTTTACGATTTTCGATAAAACAATTGGTCTTTCAAAATTTCAGATTTTACTTGCTAAATGCTTTTATTATAATGAAAATGTTTTAATTAAAACCATATTTTCCGTTTTTTGCGGTTTTTTAAGGTATTTTTTTTTTTAATTTTGAATGTTTTACGAGTACATCAAATATAGTCATGGGGTAGACTAAGGTTTCAGACATCTGAAAAGTTATTATATAGTTATTACAGATTACGTCTACCAACAAAATTATACAAAACTAGCAAAGACAAACATCAATCTATCCCACGGGAACCATACATTTTTTTTATTGAATAAAAAGTAGCTTATGTGCTATACCAGACTATAATCTATCACTGTGCCAAATTTCATCCAGATCCGTTCAGCCGTTTTGTCGTGATAGAGTAACAAACATCCAAACATCTAAGCTTTTACATTTATAATAATAATATATAGTATAGATGTCACATATTCTTGTTAATCTGCCTTTCTTAGATTTCATTTCATATGGATTATTTAAAAGGCATCATTCGATAGGATATCGCATGATCGACTTAAAAAAAAGGAATAGTATCTGCTCAAGTCAAAAAATATTCGGTATATTCTTTACCTGTTAACAAATCTTCATGATTCCTAATATATAATTAAAAAGACGTACTTTAAAGGTTTTCTATATCTAATCGATATAAAATACTTTTTATTTTTGCCCTAAAATTTTATTTAGAGCTAAAAAATATACCTATTGTTATTTTAGCCCTAATAACATAACATTAGGACTTATAGTTTTTTTTTTTGGAAAATGTTTTTGATATAGACATTAATTATTATCGATACAGAGGCCGAATTTATAGTTTTTTGATTTTTTGTATCTCTGTCTATCTATCTGTCTGGGAGCGCATCTCACGAAAACCATTGGATAGATTTTGATGAAAGGTATGATGATGACTGGTTATCCTGATCAACATATAGGATACTTTTTACTGCGGAGAAATATCTCATTTGTGAGAAATCTATACTAAAGGCTACGTATCTAGGGACGAACCCGAGCGGAGAGAGAGTGAGTCACTAGTTGACGAATAAAAATTCAAAAAGATATATGGGAATAACATATTATAGCTCTATGACTTTTTAAAATTTCTATTCTTTAACGTTGTAGAATAACACCATGTCTAAGCCCCATTAAAGAGGTAGAAATATGAAACCTGACAATTAAATTGATAAATTATGAATTCTAAGAATAAATATATATAATAAAAATATTCAATGAACAAACTCGAACCTGTTGCTTCATTATATTCTATAGCAAATGCCTAGGCAATATATTTTTATGCGCTGCACATACAATAGCATTGCTCCACGCTTTATTATATTTGTGGCACATTAAACATGCAGTTTATAGGTTTACGGTACTAGCGCTACAATGCAATGATTCATTGGATATGGATAGATTGAATTATTAACTTACTAGCGACTCACCTTTGCTTTACTTGGGGCAGCCTATGTTTTACCCCAGGCCATAGTCTATCTGTGTACTAAATTTCATCCAAATCTGCCCAGCCGTTTCAGCGTGAAGGAGTAACAGACACACACGCAAATACAAAGTTTAAAATTTACTAGCGGCTCACCCTCGTTCCACTCGGGTTCGTCCCTAGATTGCGTTGTAATGTTTAGAATACATTTCTCAGAGACAAGATATTTTCCCACAGTAAAAATCATCATACCAAATTTCATCAAAATCTGTTCAGTGGTTTTTTCATAATGCGGTCACAGACAAACAGAGAAAAATTCTAAAAACTATAGATTTGGCTTCTATTCTGATAGTAATGATTATTTCAATAAGATTTTCCAAAAAAATATTTAATGTACAGATTCGACTCAGAATTTTATTATATGTATAGATAATAGTAGTTCGATTTTTAAATTAGTCACGCACCCTCGTTTCGCTCAGGTACGTCCTTAGTGACCTTTCGCATTTATCGTATTATGCTCCCATAATTACATAACTACTAAATGGGTTACATATTATTACGAATTTTCCCGTGGGAATGACTTTTTTTTTGGGAAAAAAATCACCTACATAACTTTTTAAATAAATAAATATAAATAAATATTTTGGGACAACACAACACCATCTAGTTCCATGGTAAGTTACGAGGTTATGGATACCAGATAGTTGATACACTACATATATATATTTTTAAATACATATCTATTATAAATATAAACACCCATGAAAGTATGATGATAACTGGTTATACGATTGGAGTACAAACATTCGTGCTCATCACAAAAGTGAATGCCCCCAGCGGGACTCGAACCCGCGACTGCTGGCACAGCAAGTAGGGTCACTACAAATGTAGCCAAACGTGTCTTTAAAAAAAGAATATTTTACTCTAGAGCTCTCCAAATTTGTTCATACTCACATCAATGGAAATAATATATATGATTATGGGAAAGTAACATTTTCTTGTGGTAAAGTACCTTAGCTATTTCAAGAGTAAAAAGGACAGACGTATAAAGACACATATAATATTAGAACAAAAGTACGAGTATGTACTGCCTGTACTTATGTAGATAAACAAGTAAATAATATTTAAAATAGGTAAATTAAATCTTGCGACAAGCTTTTATATCATACTAGCGACTCACCTTCGCTCGTGTTTGTCCCTAGCTTGATTTCCTATACAAAATTTCATCCCGATTTTCCTATGTACTTCCCAGGGTCTCAAACTATCTTCTTACTAAATTTCATCTAAATCGTTTTAGTAGGTCCAGAGATTACCTCCTACAACGTCACAAACTCACAAACTTTACCTCTTTATAATATTAGTATAGATAAATTGTGTAATGTAATAAATTGTTGGGTTTGATTTAATTACCAGTTTATTTTTTTGTTTTAGAGCATTTAAATAAAAAGTTGTTTTTAAAAATGTTTTTTACTATTAATATACGTATAATAAAATACAACTATTAAAATCCGGCTATTTCAATAAGATTTTCCAAAAAATATTTAATGTACAGTTTCGACTCAGAATTCTATTATATAAATAGCCTTGCCCGAAGCTTCGCCCGCGTTCTAATGACCAAAAACCAAATTCTTAGGTTTTACATATTAGTATACTCTTACATTGGAGTTTTTGTATTTTTTCTCAGAAATGAGATATTTTCCCGCGGTAAAAAGTATTCTATATGTTGACCCGGATAACCAGCTACCACCATACCAAATTTTATCAAAATTTCAAAAAATTTAATCCAAAAATTCTAAAAACTATAGATTCGGCCTCTGTATCGATAATAATGTTTATCAATAAGATTTTCCAAAAAAATATTTAATGTACCTATTCGATTCAGAATTTTATTATACTCGTATGTATAGATGATAATTATTTCATGTTTGTCTTATTTAATTCGCCTATATTCAAGTCTAAAATTAAAGTATTCTTACTTTTTTCAGTGAGCTGACTCTACTTGAAGGCATGGCTAATTGTGGAGGGTGGAGTGAAGAACCAGTTTCTAAGGTAAAAATTAAAATAATTACATAAGTTTACATTTTTATATATTAGCATAAATTATCAATAAATAAACCTTCGTTGAGGAGTTAAAGGCGGACTGGTTGTATCCCGAACGATGAAAGCTCAAATTCATTCATATAGTAGAACAAAATTTTAGTTACTTTTTTTAAACGAAAAACTTGTAATATAACCTAATGTAGTAAGACTTATATGTACAGATGTACACTTAATAATTTCTGTATAATTGATATCACACGCTGTTTTAGTTGAAAAACAAGCCTCTTGTTAGTACAGAATATATGATGAAGTGACATGTAGAAAGTTAGAGCAAGCTCTATGTATTATACTAGCGACTCACCTTCGCTTCAGGTTTGCCTCTAGAAGTACAAAAATAAATTATCACACGGGAACCGTACATTTTTCTGGGATAGAAAGCAGCCTATGTGCTATTCCAGACTATAATCTATCTTTGTGCAAAATTTCATCCAGATCCGTTCAGCCGTTCTGGTGTGATTGAGTAACAAACATCCAAACATGTAAACTTTCACATTCATAATATTAATACAATTTACAATTAGACAGACGGACGGAGAATATCGGCTTAGAAACCCAACTCAACCCGATTACGGAACCCTACAGAGTCGTATTTTTTTATGATTATATTACAAATTATGCGAAAGTTCGAGTGTAAGTACATTTCACTTCCCACACCATAAGTCGTAACGTGTCAAAGAACTGATGTGTAATTATAAATAGTATGGATATAAATCCTGCCAAAACTTATTCTATTGTTAATTATATTCAAAATTATATAATCTGTGCGATCTGACAATAATGAATAGACGAGCGTAATCAACTTTGCATACCATTTTAAAATTTACTATTTCATGCGAAATACAATTCTTTGTCTAGAAATTAAATAAACTAATGTATTTGTTCTAAGATATGGAAAGAAAATATTAAATTAAAACATTATTATTTACTAGCATTGCCTGCGGCTCCGCCCGTGTTCAGATGACCAAAAACCAAATTTTGTTTTGTGTTCCATAGTACCTACTACTGCGTAAAACTGTGGGGATCAGTGGGTTTTACATAGTATTATACTCTTACATTGCCATTTTTGTATTTTTTCTCAGAAATGAGAAAAAATACAAAAATTGCAATGCGGTAAAAAGTATTCTATATGTTGATCCGAATAACCACCTTTCACCACACCAAATTTCATCAAAATCCCTCCAGTGGTTTTTCTGTGATGCAGAACAGACAGACAGACAGACAAAAATTCTAAAATCTATAGATTTGGCTTCTGTATCGATAATAAAGTCTATTTCAATAAGATTTTCCAAAAAATATTTAATGTACAGATTCGGCTCAGTTACAATTTTATTATATGTATAGATTTATTGGATTGCACTTGTTAGTTATAGTTGCTTAATTGATTATTTTTAAAGTATCTCAATTGATATTATTATTCATTATTTATAGATCATAATGATTCTTTATATTTTGTTAGTTACAATTTTATATTTTATAATATTAATTTGATATTTATTATTTGTATTTTACTAGTAGAACCCGCGGCTCCGCTCGCGCTAAAACTGCAAAAAATCTCTAAAAAGGTAGTTTCATACAAACTTTCATCCCCTATTTAACCCCCTTATATGATAAATTTCGAAAAATGCTTAAACACGTGTTTATTTAATCTTATTGAAGAGCATTAATATTTAGTTTCAAGTAATTCTGATCATAAATATTATTTTGGATTGTATTATAACGTGTTTCCCTGTGGGAATTAGATAATCTCTCCCGGTAAAAAGTAGCCTATGTCACTCTCCGATCCTCCAACTATCTTCACACAAAAAATCACGCTAATCTGTGTCTCCTTTTCGACGTAAAAGGAGACAAACAAACAAACAAACACACTTTCACATTTATAATATTAGTATGGATTATTTACAATTTTATAATATTAATACAGATATGAGTTTGTTATATTTTAAATATTAATATTTTAAAAGTATTGTCATCCACCGTGGGGTAGTGTGTAATCTGTAGAATATAGATGTCGCCACATTACACCCAACGCGATGGTGGAGAGATAGTGTTTAAATACATAGGTAGTTGTTATAGTCATTTTGTGGGGCATTCTTTAGAAGTAATTAAATAAAGGGGGAATTGCTGAAAGTCAATAGTTTTTATTGGAAAATCATTAATATTTAATCATAAACAAAGCTTAATTTTATTCATTTACTCTAAATATTTACAAAAGTATATGTTGAGACATTAACATACAGCACCATCTAGTTCCATGGTAAGCTACGAGGCTTATGTTATGGATGCCAGATAGTTGATAAATTACACGTATATAACTTTAAATACATACATATTATAAATATTAACACCCATAACTGGAGTACAAACATTCGTGCCCATCATACAAATTAATTTCGCCAGCGAAACTCGAACCCGCAACCGCTGGCACAGCAAGTAGAGTCACAACAAACTTAGCCCAACGTTTCGTCATAATATATGCATAATGTTAAAACTTCTCGTATTTTTAACCGACTTTAAAAAAGTAGAAATTTATTACACGATATCTTCTTTATCTGTTAAATTTCAATATCCAAATTTTCAAGAGACAAAAATCTTCCCCAAAAAGTGGATTAATTAAAGAAAACTTAGAATGATTTTAAGTAGTTTAAGTAACCTTCAAATTGAAAGCAATTACACCTTTAAGTTAAAAGAAATGACTCTTTCTAACTATCAAGTTAATAATTAAAATTATAATAGTTGAGTTATTGCTCTACTTCCAAAAGACATGCATACATTCTTGCAAAATTCCTTTATACTAGTTTTTTATGCTTCAGCCAATTTTTAGAGTTCCGTACCCGAAATATATAGACCAACGGTGCCAACGGAAGACTATTACTAAGCCTCCACTGTTCGTCCGTCTGTCTGTCAGAGGGCTGTACCTTATAAACCGTAATAGATAGAGAGCTGAAATTTTCACAAAGTATATATTTCTACTGCCGCTATAACAACATATAATAAAAATACAAGAAACATTTTTAAAGTTCGCAATCGATCATCGAAATTAATATACTACATACATACATAGAGTAAAAGTCATATTAATAAAAAGTGCATGTAAAATGGTACGGAACCCTCGAATTCGACTCAAACTTGTTCGTTTTAATTTCTAACATAGTTATGAGTAATGAGTATTTCTATTATAGCGTGCCTTATAAAGGAATGTGCAGTCACGATCGACGAAACGATCCAGGAAAACATTAAAATTACCGTTTTTTTTAACTTTGTTATTTTAATAGTATGCAATATTGTTGTTTTTCTAATTTCTACCTGCACCTTTGTGAGTGGTACTTATTACTAATATCATATAGGTTATTTATCTATATATAATTAGGCAATGATAAAACTTAGTACCTTTTTCTGCTCTTTTGGTCAACTGATTTTGTTTTGTAGCTATTGACGAGCTTTAGTGTCATCAATAAAAAATATTGGAAATAATTAGTTTTTTATATGGTAAATTCTATTCATACGTATAATTTTTTTTCAATTTTGAATAGTAATTATTTGCTCGACTTGGCGTGGGCACTGCCGTGCCCCCCGATTATCGAGGAATATTTATTTTAACAATATTTGTTCATTTTTTTGCTGAATCTTATAATTCTTTTGATTTATTTTTAACTTATAAAAAAAGATATATTTTTATTTTGTATGTGACAACACTTAACTTTTTAAATTTTTACTCTTTCCCAAAATTAGCACTAAAATATATCTGAATTTACCTACGTTATATGTCATTAGGTCACCTACTCGTAGCTCTATATTATTTGCTTTAAGCATCCGATAGATTCGAAGTAAACGAGCTGTGAGAGACATACATAAAAGTCGATTATAATCTGGTTTTCTCTGAAGGTCTCTGTAGGTCTGATGAGTACAGTGATTAGTTATTTTGCTAAGAATTGTCTTGTAATTTTCAGGCCGGAGTTAGAAAGTTGGTTATGATATACCGGAGAATACGTAAAGTCTTAAAGTTACCTCTCTTCCACCGTATCGATGTTATATCGAATCGGAGTAAAAGTCATACAGACAGTGCCGGATTTAACTTTAGCGCCACCCCTGGGCATAGTACGAAATGCCGCCCTATTATAGATTTTTTGCACAAAATGGATAAAATTGCGTTGAAGTTTTTTTTTTTAATTATTAGTTTTTTGAAAAATGCAAAAAAAAAACTATTTTATAAATGATTTCAATTTTTCGAAAAATGTAGTAGTTATTTTTTTAATTATAAATTTATTGGAAAAAATATTTATTGGAAAATAAAAAAAAGCTTTTTCGATAACACGATGAAAATTTTTTTCCCACCCTCCGAATTTTGCCGCCCTGGGCACTAACCCCGAGTGCCTCTTGTGTAAATCCAGCGTTGTTGATACAGAAGACATTAGACTAACTCCTTGTAGTGTAATTTCTCCTACGCACAGACAGGCACAGGCTAGCCTCAGTGAGATTGGCCTGCGTTTCTGACGAATCTCGCGATCTCTATGTAAAATTATATAATTTATGATCGAGCCCGATATTTCTATAGATATTGTTACATACATATAAGGAAGTTGTTAAAGGCGACGGAAATTGATTTTTAAAAATGCAATTACTTGTTACATGTACTATTTTTTCATACTCATTAATTCTTACACTTTTTAATCGTCGATCATAATCACGACTGTTTTATTTCATTTTAGACTAGTTAAGTAATTTTATGCATAATATAATTGGTACATTACTTTCATCGCACATTCTAAACGTAAGGTTAAATAAATAAATAAATATGTTGGGATATTAACACAGCACCATCTAGTTCCATGGTGAGCTACGAGGCTTGTGTTATGGATACCAGATAGTTGATAAATAACAAATTACACATAAATAACTTTAAATACATATTATAAATATGAACATCCATGACTGGAGTACAAACATTCATG